AGTAAATTGCATATAATAGTATATATTACTTAAATACTATAAACAATACTACTATATAGCTAGAATTAATTGAGATTTAGCATAAATCTGATAAGAATAAGTCACTTCATCTTGAAAAAAATTTATCAAATCTTATTTAAAAGATTTTTTTAACATCTATCACACTTCTTCATTATATATATTAGACATAATATTATTAAGTTCTAATGATTTATCTATTATTTTAAGTTAATTTTAAAATTAGGTTAATGATATATAAAAGTGAATTATTATTATATTTTAGAAAATAAAAAGATTAAATTAAGTTAAATTATTATTCAATTTATCAATTTATTAATTATTTAATATAATAGAATATTGCAAAAGTGTGATTTATAAATTGATGAATTAGAAAATTTAAAATTGATATATTATAATCAGCATATTATCTTGTTGAAAATTCATTACTTTTATTTTTAAAATAACTTATAATATTGAAATAAAAAATAAACTAATAAAATCATTATTTAATTTAAAAGCTTTTTTTTGTCAAATATATTGAATTTGAAAAATTTCTAAATATATTATTTCTGATTTTTATTAGAACTAATTTTATAAATTTTATCAAAACTTCAATTGCAAATTTTGTAATATTAAATTTTATTTAAAATAATATAATCTAAAGTAAAATCCATAAATATTAGTTATTATCAATTGATTTTATATTTAGTGAATTTGAAATAGCTTATAATCTAATAGTATATAATCTTAAAATGTTTTAAAATTATTATTATTATTAGATTTATCATTATTATAAAATTCACTTATAATATATAGTTAACTTTGATAATAAATTCTTAAGTTTTTAAAGATTGATCGACTTTTATTTTAGAATTATCAGTAAAATTTATACTAAATTTGAACGATTTATATATTTTTTTATATAATTCTAAGATAAAAATAGAATTAAAATCTTTTATTATTTATTATTAGATTCATATTTAATGATTTTTATAATTCATTTAGTTAAAATTAATGTTAATAATTCTCTTATTTTATTTTGTATTTCAAATTAATGAAATGTATCTAAAATAAAATTTTGTGAATCTTGATATTTACTTCTAATATTATGAGATATTAATAGTCTAGAAGTAGTGATATTTTCTTTACCAATTAATATAACAATTAATCTATTTCTTTTTCTACAAAAAGATGTATTAGAAGATTAACTTAATGATAATGAATAATTATCAAGTATACTAAAAATTAGTTTATTTTTATTTTATAATTAAGAAATTAAGAGAAAATAAAAGTTAAAAATAGAGTTATTTATAAGAATAATATTATTTAAATTATAAAAAAAATGCAATAGTTTTGTAAATATTTATATTATTATTTTAAACTATTATTTTCTTTTTTAATAATTATAAATAATTAAACAAATTTCCTTTTTAAAATATTTTTAAATTAAATTTAATGTTTATAACTATTTTAATAAGTTAATTTAATTTAATATATTAATAAATTATTTTTAATTTATTTATATCTTAATGAATTATTTCTAATTTACTTTAAGTCTCATTTAATATATAATTAAAGTATTAATTGTATTAATAAATTATTTTTGATTTACTTTAAGTCTTATATTAATTTAATTTTAATGTATTATCTGATATATTATTTAAGTTATTTTTAACATATAGTGAGTGACAAAAGAAACACAAGTAAGATTAATTATCTTTAAATGGCTATAATTCATCAGATATAAATACTAAAATCATGATCTTATACTTATTTTAAAGCTCAAATCTTAAAGGATATTCTGGCAATTTTTATTATTTTTTTATTAATAAATATAATATAAAGGTTAATTATAGACAGTTCATTAGTATAATCCGTTTTACTTTAACTAAGATTTTCCCTTAGATTTTTAATACTCGTATAGAAGCATCAGTAATCTTATTTAGAGATAAATCACTACTGTTGCTACTTAGCTTAGATATTTAAAATAGCTATACTATAGTAATAATCTCATTTGACCTTAAGATTATATTAACAATTAAATAGAATAATAGAACAAGTATTAGTAGGCTAAAAAATAGATTTTAATTGTTAAAAGAGCTTAGGACTAGAAATACTAAAACTGCAACAGATCTTATTGAAATTTCTATTTAGTAAAGCAATGTAATAATATATAGAAATTTAAGAAATAATTATAAACTGAATTCAGTATATTTCTACTAATTCACAATATGATTAAATAATTAAAAGGCAGAAAATATTAAAAGATAAAATTTAATAGATATCATTTTATAAAACAAATATAATATTATAATCTTTATCTTTTGTCTTTCTTATTATTACTTTTAATTCTAATTCTCAGACTTTTAATTCAAATTCTTTATTTATTCTCTCCAATTCTAACTTATATTTGAACTCTTATTCTTTTTCAAATTTTTTCTTTTTCTATTTTAATTTTTCTTGCTCTATTTAAAGCATAGGTTTCTTTCTAACTTTATTTCTCATACTCATTTTTAAATCTCATTGTATCTATTTCAATTGTTCTTGTTCGAGGGAAAACTCTTTCTTGTCGATCACTTTTCGCAAAAAAGTCTAAGAAAATAAAAACGTTCGCCCTTCAAAATTTTATTATATTTACGACTCCGTTAGTTAGTCTTATAGTTCTACGCAAGTTTAAAAACACTTTTATCACCAGAGAAGAGTTTATTTTAAAAGTAACTTTTAGGATATAACGAACCTGCTTATACCGAAATCTTATTATACCGAACCATGTGTTACAGAACCGATTTTTTATAATTGATTACGCTGGTTATAACGAATTCATATAATAAAAAGTTATATACCGCATCCGAACTAATCTTAACCGAACATGTATATTGAGCCATATATTTGATATACCGAACGATCACGTGATTTTAAATTTTGCATATGAGATTGTGTTAAACGCGAATAATATATTTTGCCAACGCGATAATCTTTTTATATAAAACACTAGTTTAAAAATTAATGTTAGTCTTGCACAGCAATATCGTCTTTTAATATAATAATTGATAAATTTTATTGTTACGAAGTGATCACGTGTCTGTATCTTTATTGGTCAATTTTATATACCGAACAGTTCGGTACAAAATATGATTTTCATATAGCGAACTCATTTTATACCGAACCAAATCTTCTGGAACGGCAGGTTCGTTATATCCAGAGTCGACTTTAATCCTTGCTTGCGCCGATTCCTGTGATACCTCAACGAATCATAGGAAGCATACAGTCAACACTCTATAAAGAACTGACGCTTCCGTTAAAAAAAAAGTTCGTTATATAAATTACTATGCTTTTAATATGAACCATTACACTTTTTATAACGAATTATTATTAAAATTTAAAAATTGTGAGTTCGTTATATCCAGCGTGAGGTTCGTTATAACCAGTTTTGACTGTATGGAGAGAAATTTATTTTTAAACCAAAAAAATAAAATGAACTTATGTTGGAATTCTAAGAAAGGATTATTACAATTTTTTTAAAATTAAAAACAATTATTAATAATTTACTTACATTAATTATAAACGGGAGGTCATCAAGCCTTAGCTTTACCTTCGAGAAGATAAGTAATTTTATTTGTTTAAGTATAAAAAAAATAATAATTCCCCTTCCCTCTACTTAATGTTTGCGGCAAGAATCTTGTTATGCACGTGATTTAGAAATTCAGGTGATGGATGACAAAGCCACCAATATTCATTTTATTAGTTCCTTTCTGGAGTAACAATTGTATTGTTATCATTCACATTTCTATGTTCGTCAGTTAAGATAAACCAAAGAAATCATTGTAATTAAACTTTAAAAGAAACAATATACCTGCATATTTGATTAGCATCAAGAATAGAACTAACTAAAAAATAATAATACTCATCCTATAATTAGAAATTCTAAATCTTGCAAAGGATATTACAAAGAAATTCTATCAATACGGTATATGGGAGGTTTGTTATTAGAATTGAGTTACGAACTTAGTAAAACATATGATCCGTAACGTGATTTTAATAGCAAACCTTCCATATGATGAAATTCACGACGCGGCAATCTTTCTCGTTTTATATGTTAAATCCTGCAATTTTTTTTTTAAAAAAAAAAATTTATTAACCTAAATCCAAGAATGACATAATTTCAACTAATAGGAATAAAGAAACAGTCTTTTTCCAATCCGAGTTCAATAAATTCTATTTGCTGATAAATTTACTCCATCAAAAAAATTTCTTATAGTTGGTTTTGTTAGAGATATAATTATGAAGTATCTTGATTTAACGAAAAAAAAGCATGCTAGTCTTTCCTCTTAATGGATATTTGGACATTTTATATTTTACACGTGTTTAATACAGCATATTATTGGCAAGAACCTTATTTCGCCTTTGCTCTATGAATTTTAATAGTAAAATATATAATTTACATACTTTCAATATTCTGATAAATTTTGCTTCTTGACACGTGGAGCGTATTTCTTCCAATCCAAATCTGTTTATAATGCATTTGATTTTCCAAACTAGATCATCATCTTAAGAATTTTTTATTAATCAATGCATAAAATTATTAATTCCATTGAGGGAATCGTTTGACTTATTCGAGTTTAGATTTTTGTACAATTCTGATAATTAGTAATCATTCCTTTACTAATCATAAAATTTTAAAACGATATGCTTGTGAAATTTATTTATAAGGTTAGGTTAGGAGCATTTTTTTTTTTGTTTGTATCTCGAGATCAACAAAACAAACAAACATGGTTGTGCATATTTAACCGTTATTTAACCGGCTAACTTAGACCGGCACTAAACATTTGGCCAGAGCTAACAAAATTCTTGTTCATAAAATCTTAAATCTAGCCGAAATTTGAATTTCGGGTCGGAGTTGGAATCCACGATTTTACAAGTATAAATTAACTGATTCTACCCTCTTTCTTTTTTATAAACTGGTTAAATAGGAATCAACAATTTAATTCATTTATTTAAGGATGTCTACCGAAGTATCAAACAACGGTGTGATTTTCACCAAAACTATTGACTCTGGATTACCAGAAATTGATAAACACTTTAAATACATCGAACGCAAGTTTAAAATTTCCCCAGATGTATTGGAAAAAGATGAAATCTTGATCAGAAATGTTTATTTGTCTCTCGATCCGCATTTTCGTAATCTGATGAAATCCGCGCATATGGTTGAAACATATACTGTAGGAAATGTCATGAAAGCTGGTGGTATTGGTGTAGTGGTTCATAGCAAAAATGATCAATGGAAAGAAGGCGATGTATTCTTGGGTGATTTAGGTAAATATTATTTTCAAGGGTGAAAACAGTATGTGATGAGGTTTTATTAATCAATCCAGATCAATCCATCATATAGGATGGGAAGAGTATAGCAAAATTTCTCCTGATGAAGTGAAAAATGGGTTATTCTTTAAACAATACCTTAAAGACGCATTAAACGATGGTATAAAATGCAGTTATTTTCTTGGATTACTCGGTATGCCAGGTTTTACCGCTTATGTCGGTTTACTTGTATTTGCTAAGCCAAAAAAAAATGAAACGATCTTTATCTCGGTAACAAATTAATATTTTTATATATTCCGTAACGATTGTCGAACAATAAATACTACTGTATATTCATTAACATTGTCTAAAATTTATATAGGCTGCTGCGGGAGCTGTTGGTCAGGTCGTAGGACAAATTGCAAAAATTAAAGGGTTGAGAGTTATTGGATCAGCTGGTGATGATAATAAAGTCGATTATTTGTTGAATGAATTAAAATTTGATGACGCCTTTAATTATAAAAAAATCAATACCGATCAAGCGTTAAAAGAAACTTGTCCGAACGGAATTGATATTTATTTTGATAACGTTGGGTAAGTCAATGTCCCTTTTTTAATGTTCTTTCAATAAATTATTACTTTAGATGATAATTTTGCTCTCTGAATATCTTGTAGCGGGGAAACACTTGATATAGCTTTAACCCATTTAAATCTCAAAGCACGTGTAATTGCATGTGGAATGATTTCTCAATTTAATTCAACATCAAAATATGGTGTTAAAAATCTCAATGTTCTTGTAGAAAAAAGAATTACAATTTATGGAATGTTGATATTTGATCATTATGAAGAGCATTATGATTCATTCCTAAAGGAGATGGTACCATGGTTGAAAGATGGTAAATTAAAATATAAAGAACATCATGTTAACGGTATTGAAAATGCACCTCAAGCTTTCTTGGATTTGTTTAATGGTAAACATTTTGGTAAAGTTGTTATAAAAATTAATGATCTGTTAAATTAGAAAGGAGAATCGAGAAAGGGTAAGACGAAATGAATATATATTTCTGCGTTACTCTCCATTTGTAAATCTCGTTCTAGTATGATCAATTTTTATTTTCTTTAAATGGATTTGAATTATCCACTAAAAATAAATTGATCATATAAAACTATTTTTTATACATTAAAGGTTTTTTCAACGCAGCCGCTCTTTTTTTATTTCGGTAAATATGATCGACGTGATTTTATAAAACTTAAATTTCGCTTAAAGAAATTTGTCTGGATTGATTTTTGGCTCGGAAAATTTTAAATACGATTTCGACTTTCTCTTTAATGGTCAAATATATGAATAGTGACTCGGCAAAATAATAAAATATGCAGTATTTGATCTTTCTAACCAATCAAAATCGGCGTTTCATACGCCTCAAATAATTAAATAAACTACAATATTTTATTTTTTTTTAGAATAATTCAACTATCTACCGGTTTTTAAAACTTTGGAAGTGAAAAAGAGTGCAAATTTCGAAAAAAAAAAAAAAGAACCGACTAAAATAAAAATAAAAATTTAAAACTTTACCTATACAAATTGAAGCCTAAAAAGGGCAATCAAAAAAAAAAAAGAAAACTTCATATGCGAAAGATATTACCTATAAATAAAGCCTAAAAGATTTTCAAAGAAAAATAAAAAAAAAGAAAATAATAATAAAATAAAATAAGTCTTAACGAATGTTCCTCCGTAATGAAAATAAATTATTTGCTGTAATTCTGGTTACAAATTAAGAGAATAAAGCCGTAAATTTTAAGAAAATTTTCATTGTTTATTGGTTTAATATGTAAGGTTTGTTAAAATTGCTCCGAAAGAAGTCAAAATCTCACGTCTTCAAACGGCAGGAGACATTACCTCGTAGAAAGTGATTAAACAGAACAGTAATTAGTAGATTGGATACATCGAGGGTAGAAGTCAGGTTCAATTCCTGATTGTAAATTGCTATTTCTTTTCATATTTTCTATAATTGCCTGACAAAACTCTCTGGTTTCAACGGGCGGGGTCACTGGCAAAACTATAATAAAACCTTATTGTCGAAACTCGAAGCCATAATATATTCACGTCAAAGTCTATCATATTATAAATAAAGAAAAGATAAATTATGAAAATAATTTTATCAGAATAAATAATATTGATAATAAGTTTTTTATGCAAAACCTAATTTAGTATTGTCAAAATATTTTAAAATAAAAATACTATAATTTAGATACTTCATAAAAATGATTTATAAAGTAAAATTATCTAAATTATTATATTTGTTATATTTTAATCCTATAAAATATATTATAATCAATCTAATGTATTGCTTATTTTTAGGTATTGCATGATAGATAGTAAAAAAAATCTAAATTAATAAGTGATTTTAATATTAAATTTCTGAATAAAATTTAGAAAAGATGAATAAGTTTAAATTTTATTTGATTTAAATCAAAATCTGGGTAAATTTATGAAAAAGAAAAATTTTCTAATTTTATGACTGATCAATGACAAATATTTTTACTATATTTGTAAATAGAAAGATTCTTATATTTTGTAAAATTTATACAATTTTAGTAAACTGGATTTAAAATCAGATCTATTATATAAAGTATATCAAACATTAATTGAAATAATAAAATTAATTGAAAATAATCACAGGTATAATAAAATTATGTCAAATTTTATCTTTCTTTCTAATTATATAATTACTTAATAAAATATAATCAATTATATATGTTTTGGTATTTTTTTTTGAATGTATAAAGGAAATATTAGATATTTTTATTTAGAATTTTTTGAATAAATAATTTACTAATTTATTAATGATTTTAGATTTTTTATTGAATAGTAATAGAAAAATTAAATTTGAGTTAATGCATTAATTAATATTTAATATTTAAATTTATAGTATTATAAGTTCTAGTAATATTAAGATAATAAGCTTAAATAACTAGATAACTAACTATTGATTTTTTTTAGATACAGATGAATTTTCTTTTAATAAAATCTATAGATTTATAAAATATTAAAAATCAAATATTACTAGTAGTGAATGAAACATTTTTAGTAAATTCTTAAACTATCATCTAATATATAATTATTTTAAGCAATATGTTTAATTTAATGGTTGAATATTATATAGTGACTTATATTATATTTGAATTTAGGAAGCCATTCAATAAGAATTTAAAAAATAATATAATGATTTAGATCAAAAATGAATTAATTTAGAAGATATCAAATTGGTTTTAAAATTTTTTAATTTTAATTATATCTTAGTAGGACATTAAAAATTTGTGTATTTTAACTAAATTTATTTAATAGCATTATTGATCATTACTTAGGCTAAACTTTACTTATACAAATCAGTATTGACCTTTTAAACTAATATTCTTTTGAACTATTAGACTATTGGATTATTAAGCTTAATTTATTCTAATTCTATTAATATTTAAACTATTAAACTATAGACTTCATCTAATAACTATATATTTGTATAAAATTTATATTATATAAATCATTTTTATTGATATTTGTTAGAATATTTTAAATAATTAGAAATATTTTGAAGTTTCTATTTAGAATTTTGATCTCTAACAAGATAAAGTAAATTTGAAATATTTGTAATATTAATTTAAGCTCTCTGTTAATTGAAAAATTTAGATCAAGTCAATAGAATCATTCTATTGAATAATTTTATTATCATTTTAATTTTTAAGTTATGCTAGCATTATAAATTTAACTAAAATTATATATTTATAGTTTATTTAAATTAGAATTAGACTAGACATTTTTATTAGGTCTAAAGTTTAATAGTTCATTATTGGGAATCAGTTAAGTTCTAATACTAACACTAATTCAAACTTGAATATTTTTTGGTATTTGTTCATTAATATAATTTGCAAGTTTTTCAAATATGTGATATTATTTTAACAAAGAAAAAACATGTAATATTAAATTATAAAATACTATTACTATTTATCTAAAAATAATGATTATATAATTTAGTTTATCATATTTTGAATTAATTTATACTAGTAAACTATCAAATTTAGCTTGTGAAATGCAAAAGAATATTTAACTGTTAATCTAATTAATAGAAAATACTATTTGTAAAAATAAATTAAATGTTTTAGAATGAATTTTATAATTTAAAATATAAAATATCAGTTATATTTCTTTCTGAATTTATTATATTTTAGCTAATTTTTAAAATACAATGCTTAATAACAAATCATAGGTCACCTTAAAATAGAAATAATCATTTAAAAAATTTTAATCAATTAAACTTTTTTTTATAATAAACTTATCTTTTATATAATAAGTAAATTTATTCTTTATAATAAAATATACATAAACTTATAATTTATTATAAAAATTTAATTATTATAAAAATATATTTAATAAATTTTATCTAAATTTTTATATAATTAATACAAATATTTAGCTATAATTAAACATTGAATTTTTTAGTTTTAATTTATATTACTTTATTAAGTAAATTTGTAAATTATATTAAAGTTATAATTATCAAAATTTTAGATTGAATATATTATTATACAAGAAGTTCATATTTCATAAATATTAAAAAATTTATATTTTTTATTAATTTAACATATTATATAAAATTAGTAAATATTTTCTTTGAAAAAGTTGATTTCTTTGAATAAATATTACAGTTAACAACCAAAATTATGCGGACATTTTTAAAATCAAAAAAATTATATACACATAATTTAATAAAAATAAAATTTTAACAAAATAAATTCAAATATATTTATTTATTGATTTATAAAAAAAATTAATAATTAATCCTATTTCCAATTGTGGCAATTTGTCGCGGCAGCTATCGATTAGTTTTTTAATATTCTGGATGAAAATTTTTCCATGCATCCTTTACATACTTTTCAAATACTTTAATACTAGAAAGTGGTGGAGTTGGTGTTAAAGAATCAGTTTCGCGAAGACGTTTAAGAATAATATAGACATGCACCCTAGCTGTATAGATATAGTATAACCTGACTGTTCACATTTATAACCATAAGTAATAGCACCACGAGTTTTGGAAATAAGTACTTTCATATTTGACATGAACTTATTTAAAAGAGGAAATGGTTTAGTGTATAGTTTATCGTCATAAGTAAAAAATGACGTATTGTTTTAATTATGCAATCTCATAATGATCAATCTGCCTAATTTTGACAAATCAAAATGTCCGCATAATTTTGGTCATTGACTGTAATGTAATTAACTTGAAATTTTATAGCTTTTAATATAATTTACAAGTATATTGTTAATGTGTAATTCTTGCGAACTACAACTGTTAGACAGGGTATTCAAGCGGTTTATTCTTTTTAATTGAACAGTAATCTTTCAACGGTTTATAAGCTTTTAACTTAGTCAATTTATCAAGAGTATTTATACTATTATATCGAGTAATTTAACAGATTGCCAATGATTTGTAATTATAAAATAATGTGTTTATTCACGAGTAAAATAATAGAAGTAAAAGAAAAGAGATAAAAGAAAATAAGAAAATAAAGTAAGAAAATAAAAGAAATGAATTACTGAAACAAAAATGTAACGCGGTAGGCCAATTGCCTCTAAAACTACTAAAACTAACTTGTCGAGTTCCTATCTGTCTGTCTTTTACATAAACTAAAAAACTATCTATTTATATAAAATAAATTACATAGAGAAATATAACTAACATATCTAATATGTCAACTATGTCTAATATATTAACTATGTCTAATATATCAACTATATCTAATAT